ATATAGTAATGAAATATAGTAATGTTCTCTGTGTAAATGTTGCAGAAACATCCAAAGTCCAGCTCTCATGCTACAAAGTCTGGCTACTTTATAGTTAATGAAATTTGAGCATATTATACGGTATAAATGCTTGATATGAATGATTCTGAAGACACAATCTGTGACTGGTTGCATTGACCATTGATTAAATCCGCTGGCTGCCTATTCTGTCATAGTAGGAGGCGTAAAATTTAGATGGACAGACTGGCTGAGGTTGATGCTCCCTTCTGCCATTTCAAACTCAAAGCCAATTCAAGAGCCAGCCTTTCACTGTAGCCTGATGGAATTAAATGCATGTGACAGCGCAGCATATACAGCTTGTTTCATCATCACGCAGAGCGCACTCAACCCTCATCTATTTTCCTGTGCCCCAATCCTTGTTTCACCTGGCAGTGACTGATGGAGTTCAGCTGTGCCTCTTGTGAAAAAGAAGAGGAAAAAAGAAAAAAGTTTGCTACAATACACGGTCTCTTGAGCCTTAAAAGATGACTGAACTTTTCGTGTGCCAATATGGAGGATGAAAAACAGGAAAATTGCTTCAGCACCTTAGATCAAGATCCCAGGGGAAAGGGACAGCTTGTGTAAAATGCTTTATGGAATTCCACTCAACCAGATGCAGACATTCACGTCTGTCAATACCTGTAGTCTTTGTAGCATCAGAGTGTGGGTACATTTGAAACCTTAAATGTCAAATTCAGTGATTAGATCGATAGGGAAACTAATCTTCTGTTGCCTTGGACAAAATGGTTTATAAATCCTGCGGCAATCCCCTAAGTAAGCACAGGAATTCATGAATGCTAAACACATTTGGTTTTCTTTCCTCTAACAAAAGGAGTAGCTTTGATACTACCACCCCTCTTGTACTTGTAGGACAAGACTGCTGAGCTGACACTTTTCTTTTTCATATGAATATCAAATGAGGCTTTAGCTTTTGATATGGCATGATAATGGTACAGCTGGGATGGGCCCATTTAGCTACCGTGCAATCTATCTCTAACTAAGGAAATGAGCTTTTGTGTGGTGTTGCTTGTGATGTGGCATCCCTGTGTTGTATTTTCAGGCCTTTTTCTTAATCTTTTTACGTTTCAAAGGTGTTCAGTAACACTGGACAAGATAAATAAGTGCAGCAGTGGACAATAAATTGAATCTTGAATGGAAGAGATTAACAGAGGAGGCTGCGAGTACAGAGGACAATCTGTAGAGTAAGAGACTGAAATCCTTGCTCCCAGCAAGAACACCAACACTGATATGCTCACAAGGCTGACACCAACAGGACTTAACATCAATCACCCTATCAAGCTGGTCAAACAGTCACTGTGCTTGTGAGAGAGCACAACAGATCCCCCTCCCTAAACCACAGATTGTCACAGCACAAAGGCCATTTGCTTGGATGATTGTTGGCTTTAGCATAGAGCTATCCGAAGGAGCCATGCTCTCAATCCTAACCCCACCACCCAATACTGCTCTAATCTGCCCGAAACTCCCCCTACAGCTCAGACTCTTCTAATCCCTCATAAGAAAGAGGAGCCAGATGGTCATGAACAACTGCTAGGGGGGCCTGAGGATGAGCGCATGTATGGAGATGCCTGGAGTGCCTGCCGCTGTTTACCTTGTGCTTCAAGTTACCACTGTAAGCCCCGTGGAGCGGATGGTGTGTGGGTGGTGAGCGTTCTTTCAAGGATGGCTATGTGTACAGCAAGTGTGCTCGTGCATGTGCGCACAGTCAGAAAGAAGAGACCCCTGCTGTACCTGGTGTCTGGTTACTGCAGTGCACCATTCCCCCTTCAGACTTGAGATGAGATGTCAAAGCTTCAGAGGCAAACCTCCCTACCAGCTGCAGTAACCTTGTGATTCCTGGAGTGTCAGAGGTAGAGCAGCACAGTCCCAGGGGTGTCAAGATACAACATGCCTCTCACCCTCCCTCTATCCCAGAGTGCTCAGGCACCCCGTCCCGACCCCTCACTGATGAGCGAACCCTTTATTCCCAGCTTCGCTAACCTTCAACAGCGTACGCTGATTCCCCAGAATCCTGGGTGCCAGTCAGCCAGCCGCCAATGAGCCTAGAGTTGTCACATGATGATGGAGAGACCCAGCAGCCACATGCTGCTTCCTAACCCCCTCATCACCCCACTCTTTTCCCATGTGACACTGATTAAACTGTCATTAAAATGATCCAGTGGTGGGAAGAAAACAAGAGTATCAATCTGGGGGAATTGAAGGGAATATGCATGGTGGGTGTTCATTAAGTGAACATTACCAGAGTAAAAATTCAATTATTGCACAGCAGGGGATGCGCTGCACTGGGGAAAGTCCATGGCCACTTATGAACCGTTTGCCCCCACATACACATATACACACACATTTATGTTCACACACAATAACTGAGAATCCTCAAATCTTACACTATATAGCTTCCGCACACACTCAGGATGGTTGCTGTAATGTTTTTTCATGAAGGACAACAAGCTAGGCACATGAATCTGGGGCCACCAGCATTGCAATCCAAAGCCTCTTTTCCACCTCCCGAGAGGTGTGCAGCAGCCAGTTATTAGTGGTGGGGTTTTGCCACTGAAAAGGGTTAATCACAAACTGAGCTAGAAAGAACCTGAGAAGTAAACGCCTTCACACAAATCCCCTGTGACTACAGATATTAATGACCTTATGACCTCTGCCAAAGGTTGCACTGAGGCAGCTTCTGATCTATTAAACGAGTCAAGCAGGCCGGAACTGACAAACAGGTAACTGATGGTCTCTGTTAATGTAGAGTCTAATATGACCTTCATCTATGCTATTATGCTCACAGCTCAAAGAAAGAATATTGATGAGTAGTTGTAATTCATCAATAAATGATTAAATCACTATAATGAATTTGACTGATCAAGAATATATCAATGTTCAAAGCTGAAGCAACATCACCTGTTGGGTTCTGGTGTCTGTTCAGGTATTTTTAGTGGCTGGACATCAGCAATCATGATCAGATTCAACAGAAGAGTATGGGAACAGGTGTTTGTTTGCACTGATGGTGTGCTGAAGGTGTGATTTCACCAGAACTATTGAGCACCTGTCCCCTACAACTCGTCGTCTTCAGGGCAGCCAATTTTGATTGGCATTTGTAGGTTTTAGCCCTTTTTGTAAAACAGGAATAGGTTAATCTGTTTCCTCTCGAAACAGATTAACTTCGTAACTTTTCTATGAAGTTATTATGAATAATCATTTAAATTTAGTTTGGCCATTGACTAACAACAGATGAGCAGGAACATTTATCCTTATGGCATTATTTTATCTGATTCAGTTTATAATCTTGTGGTTATTTTATGTTTTAGTCAAATACCTTATTTACGTAGGTTGTGCTACGAAAAGAGCCCATTTCATAGAATAAGGGAACACATTTGCACTGCTTTTGGTAATAACCACTAATCGATCATTTATGTCAACAATTGATTTAGGAAATTGCTTAACATTTCCATCCGCAATTCAAACAAGGCCTGCGCCAACGAAAACATTCAGTGCTTACCGAGTTCAAAAGCGGTGCTCACATCAAGGCAAGTCAATGTCTGCGTTAATGAATCTGATATCAGCTAGGCTTTTCTGACCCTTTCATTCCCTTAAACAAACATTTACATCAAGGCGAGGCATACTGAAGAGCCCCGGGGCCATTTCTGTGTCTTTGCCAATTCCTCTTTCCCTGGCTACGGTGGACTGTGTAATGATATGAGAATGACATGGAGATATTGCCCTGAAGCAGGAGAGGGGTCCACAGCTTCAGGTCTGAGCGTGGCCACTGGCAGTGCTGTTAATTTTAGTATATGGAGCAGACAATGGGATAGATCTCGGTTTGTGTGGTGCATGTGTACGTGTGTGTGTTTTCAATGCTGGCCTGTTCACAGCTGGGCTCAAGCTAATGCCCACTCTGTTGCCGCAAATGTGCCCTAGTTAGCAGGGCTCACAACCCAGTGACATGGTGGGCTGGGGTTGGTAGAGTCCCCAGTGTTGGGATGTTTTTACGCTTCACGCTTGGTTGCATTCACACAAAAGACTTGGCCCCATAACCCCTAAGCCCTCTAATCCATTCTGTAAACATTCAAGGGGTGCCCACTTTTACAACAAATGCCCATGCATGGGTACACAGCACAGCCTGCCACACGCTGGCCAGGTATTTATGAGTGGATTTGGCATATTGAGCACTATTATATTATGATTCTTTTTTCCTATTATTACTGTAATCACTAAAAATATAGATAATTAAAATATTAAGTGTCACGGTGTAGCAATTCTGAACTTCACCTATAATTTTCTCCAATTTTTGATCACAGCTTTACCCAAGAGCAAAGACATCTCATCAAAGGAGTACATAATAAAATGAAGCACATAAATCAGATCATCTCCTGCAGACTCACTTTAAACCATCTCAAGTCATATCGCCTTGGTGCATATTATGTTGCTCATCAATGTAACTGTACTGTAGAGACATATACTATTTCACTTGCATGCCAAAAGCAGCATTTCAACTCCATGTTCACTGTAAATCATATAACCACCTGAATAAGTGACCCTAGTGAACCCCATGTCCTCCTTACCACCACAATCCAACCCCCCCCACCAACCACATACAAAAGGAGACCTGGTGCAGTGCCACTGACTCTGTCATGACATCCAGGAATAGCAACATGCACAGGGGGAAGAAACAGACATAAACAGCCTGATGTAATAATTAGAAATGCATGATTACACTGATAACCATCACTTTGCAATGATCTTTCCTGATTAACATTTCAAAATAACTTCATACTGAGCCTCCACATTTGTTACTACAGATATGAATAATGATAAATGCTGAGTTACTAAAGCTAGATTTATTTGATCTTTTAAGCCACAAATGCACATTTGTATTATTGACAACAACTAGATCAATGTGAACAGGTATAATGAGAAAAGCATTAACACAATGATGAGCCACTTACCCAGAAGATGAGATTGAAGATGAACATCATATACTTCAAGCAGCAAAGGCAGCCTCTTGCCATGTTGCACTTCTTGAATTCTAAAAGGAACACAAAGGATAGATCCAGGTAAAAGACCACGTATTTGCTGCCTTTGGGTGAGCTGTACTTGTTGTTGGTCTTGTCTCCTGCGCTGGCGTCAGCTGCTGCTCCAGCCTGCCCCTGCTGTGCGTTTTTGCGCGGCCCCGTGGAGCCGTAGAATGCACCGGCAGTGAAGCCGCGGCCACCGAATGGGCGGCCAGACGTGGAGGCTTGAGCAAAATCGGAGTCACGGCTATCTACGGAGGGGCTACGGTGAATGGCTGACTCCTCACTGCTGGACTTCTCCATGCTCTAAAGCTGCAGCTGCTGATGAAAGGCTCCCTGACGCACAGTCTACCATAGTCTCAGAGATGACAGGACAGGACAAGTCACCCACCAAATCTCCACTGCTTCACACTCTGAAGCAAAAAAAAGATAAAAGCCTCACAGAAACACAGCTGCATCCACCTCAAAGCACACAGTTGGGTAAAGAAAGTGTTCAGTACAGAAGTGAGTAGAACTGCACTGCCCAGGCACCTCTGCCAGGCTTAAGTGTCTTCTGCTTGCTGCTGCTGTCTTGCAGTGATAGTCCTGAAGTAGCTGTGCAGAAGGGTCCTGTGAGGAGCATTACCCCTCGCCTAATGACAGGACTGTCTTCCCAGGAAGAAGTTATAGTACTCCCTCTGTCCCCTCTTGTAATATCACTCTCCTCCTGCGCTGCTTATTGCTGTGCCGTGCTGTTCCAGAGGGAGAAAGACCCCAATGATTCTCAGCTGCTCCACTTCCACGTTGTCTTGCTGACCTGGTAACTTTTCTCCCTTCCTCACTCTCCTCTCCTCTTTCCACTGCTCTGCTCCTTCTCCTCTTCTCAACGTGCTCTCTGATGCGCACCCTCTTCCCTTACTATATCTCTCTCTGTCTCCTTCTGAGTGTGCCTGTCTTCTCTAGTGTACCATTCTCTGCTCAGCAGCTCAGTCCTCTGCACTGCCTGTGCTCTGCTCTCCCAATAGCACCGCTCTGGCTGATGTGCTATTATCGGCAGACGCAACTAACGGGCATTCCCTATCTCCCAACAAGAGCACTGCCCTCCTCCCCCAACTCTCTCTCTCTATCTCTCTCTTTCTCTCTCTCCCTCAGCCCCTCCCCACTGCTGAGCAGACAGCCAATGCAGCAGCTGCTTCCAGACCCGGGCTCCTCCTCTATACTCCCTGTGTCTTTAATAAGCCCATCACAGTGTTTGCTTTGACTATACATGTTCAGCAATTTCATCTTTGCTGTCAGGGGAATTGAGAGGCCAGAGATGCATTTAAGAATATAAAACAAACAAACAACAATACAAATAAATTAAGTGTCAAGGTAATTGTAGATGAGTAAAGGGTTGTGTAGCAGGGTTGGCGTGTGTGTGTGTGTGTGTGTGTGTGTGTGTGTGTGTGTGTGTGTGTGTGGAGAGTGTGTATGTGTGTGTGTGTGTGTGTGTGTGTGTGTGTGTGTGTGTGTGTGTGTGAGATGGAAATTGCTGGTGGGCTCCTTTTGCATGTGGATAGCAATCACTGTCAGTCCACTGATGACACAGACATGTTTTCAAACAAGCCATTTTATCTTCTCACACTTTTTTAATTTGTGGTCTATAATTTCATTCATTATTGCTGCTAAAACAGAGTTAACTCTCCCTGCAGGTGATTTATCATATGTTTCTGAAAACCAGCCTGAAACATCAGGTGACTATCACTAGAGCGATTATGGCGTCTGATGTGGGTGTTGGCGACAGTACTGAGCTACATTTTGGTCGGACTGTTGCTCTGTGTTATTCATCACTGCACTACCCACATCCATGTAAGGGGACCCAATTAACTGGCAGTGTCCACGCTTTGGAATTATGGCACCATCTGAAGCACGGAAAGGGGATAGTGGCTTTAAGACGCTGAACACCCGCCGACGCAAAGCCAGGGTCAAACACCAAATAGACTTGCTGATTCACACACCAAGCTGACAAGATATTATAACTTTGATTTTAAACTTACTAGCTCTCCAAACAGCCCCATTTACATATCATGAGAAAACAAAGGCTGAATGGTAAAAGATCCTTAAGGTAGAAACTGCGAGGGTGGCGATTGTCAAATTTAAATAAAACAGGAGAATTATTGCCATATGCAACTTGTGTCTATCTATGAAAGTTTTCCAGAGATTCGTTTTAACCACAGGTGAATGTAACAATTGGAAAAGCAGTATAATTGCCCTTATTGACTCCCAGAAACAACTTTCTCCAAGACCGTCAAGCTAAAACAGGTCTACCGCTAGACTGCACATTGTTCTACTGCGGTAATGGTCTTCTGTCAGCTGAGTGCCAGTGATGGCTCAGCCTCCAGACAGATGGAGGGAGAGTTTCAACTGAATGGTCTTAAAGGTAAATCCAGTAATACCCAATCGACATAGACAAGCTAATCCAACCCTCTTGAGTTTTACTATTGTAGAGTAAAAAACCTTGCCCTCAGGAACCGTATGTATTGTGGTTTTAAAGCACAGAAATGTTGGAAAATCAGGTTTCAGCAATTGGTTAAGGCTGTAACATAACAGCACAATTTGAATGGTTTAACATTTACAAAATATTAAAATCTTTGCATATTAAATAATATTTCGCCTGGGTAACGCAGTATTGATTTAAAGGAAGTGATGATACCACTCTCATGGCTGTATGCTTAATATAAGACTACAGCGAGCAGCTGGTTAGCTTAGCTTAGCATCAAGACTGGAAACAGAGGGAAATGGCAAGCCTGGCTCTGACCCAATGTGCTAAAAACAGCTGGCCGGGCACAGTCACTTCTTGTCGCCACTAAGTAACCTGCAAAGGCTTCATGAAGTTGAAGCTCCGAGCTAGGAAATACTCACATAACTCCCCAAAAAACACAACTTTTTGTAGGGATTAAACAAATGAGATACAATGTGCTAATTAGTGAGTTTTAGAGGTGCCTGTAGGCTGATTTTGTTACCTTTGGAGAGTTGTCTCTTCAAGTTATATCTTATTTGTGTTACAAAGATATAGATATATATAAAGTGTTACAGAAACTGGATTTGTGATGAAGAAGAAATTATAAATTATTATATATTATATTATTAAAAGTAGTATAATATATCTCTCGTCAACTCTCACAGTAGCTAGAGTATTGTTGATGTCATAAGAAAAATCTCTTCTTTTCTACTTTTCAAGAACTAAAAAAATGCCTATTTATCTTCTTGACCATGCATTTTTTTCAGGTTTATATGTGGTTTTGAAAAGCTTTTGTGAACTGAAAGATTACAGAATGTTCAGAATCTCTGACATTGAAGTAAAGAGACTTTGATCTGACACCAGTACTTTAACAAATCATTTATTTTAGCCTACATGTCTTTAGCCACACATTTGCAAAAAGGCAGCAATTGCAAATGATTAAGACAAATTCATCATTAATTCAGCTGCCAATGGTAGACATGTCACCTTATGAAAATAGCTGCTCATGGGTCAATAGTGGCAAGGTTTCTATTAACCCGTTTTGAATATATGTCAAAAGCAGAATCCAGGCACTTTCCGTCCAGTGATCTCTAAGGCCCTTAACTCCAAATTCAATACAATCTGCATCAGTGACGCTCTCTCTGAGCATTGCACACATTTATCAGCACTTAGTGGGGCTGCAAATGTTACTGATTCCTCAAGTAGCCTGAAGGACATATCTAAGTCTGTTTCCTACAGAGCCACGCACAGATCCATCCATCGACTGAGAGCAACGGGACTCTGCGTGCCTGCATTAGGTTGAGGGGATGAAACAGGAGAGAAAGATACAAAGTGAGACTCGGGAGAAAGGGACGTCTGTAGGATGACCCAGAGGAGTAGGAGCTTGTAGTGATGAAAAATATGCGGAGCAGAGCAGAGCAGAGCAGAGCAGAGCAGAGCAGAGCAGAGCAGAGCAGGGAGTCTGGGCTGAAATGGAGGGGGTGAGTGGGATGAGATTGTATTCAGACATTCTCTATGATGCTGAGTAAATCTGGCAGCTCCTTCAACAGTATGTTGCAAAGACAGACAATACTGAAGAGATTAGAGTTCAGAGGGAACCAACGGGGACGCTCCCGGAACGCTTTACACAATGCTTGTAGTGGAACACAAACACTTAACCCTGAACCTGTGTCAGAGTACTGGGACTATGGGCAAATAATGTCACACATAGTGAGTAAGGAGTGGTGTTAACCAATGTCTTCATTACAGAATAAATTAAGATTATTAATAAAAGAAATATCTACAGAGAAATACAGTTTGTGGTGTGATATTAGTAGTATTAGTATTAGTATGCAAGAACTGCATAGGTGGTCTATATAACAAAGATATTTCAGCCCACAAACAGTAGGGGGTTAAGTAGAATTTAGTATTTAGGAGTATTTTGCTGTGTAATTACATAATTAAAAGCCAGTGCAATGAAAACCTCATTAGAAACAGATGTAAACTACAGCTGAATGGCTTAAATATAATCGTAAATGTCTCTCTCTAAGGTCCTCCTGCATCTTTAAATTGGTTCTTTAAACAATATTTTATCTCTAGCATAAGATTTATCTGTAGCGTAAGCATATCCCTAGCATTATATTTTATCTCTAAAAATGTACTAATTTCATGTCATTGTGCTTACAATCAATAACTGAACCTTGTAGATGTTGTGTAGGTGATTACATTTCTTTGTTATGATGTCAGTGGGAGTTTCCTTCAATAATTCAGCAGGACTACATGAAAAATGTAATCTTATTTACCATCAGTGACCCGAAGCCTTAATAGTATCGCTCTTATTTGGGTTTCATTACACATCGGGTATATAAAGAGGAGGTTTTTTATCTGCACTCAATAAATACATTTAACATGAATGGAGTATTACGTTGATAGAAAATGCAATAAACAAATATTGTAACAAAAAAAAAAACTGTATATATATATATATATATATATATATATATATATATATATATATATTTTTTTTTTTTTTTTTCCTTTAAAGCCCTGCAGCACCGCTCTAACCTCTAAGACACTGTTTGTTAAACAGCTATGGTGGTTCAACAGATGGTTCATCCAATCACCTGCCAAGTGTTTTTGCCCTTTCCAAACAGTTTCCATCGATGACTTCCCAGATGGTTCTGTGTAACAAACCGTAAGGCACAGTCAGGTTAATTCGCTATACGTTAGAAAGTATTTGTCACATTGAACCGCCATGTTTCTACAGTAGCCCAGAATGGACAAACCAAACACTGGCTCTAGATAGGGCTTTTCACGTTTGTCACTGGTTTTGCAGCCACTGTAGTTTTCCCTTCGCATGTGAAAGGCTGAGCTGTATTCAAATGATTGTAATCCGCAGCTTCACCACTAGATGCCACTGAATCCTACGCACTGGTCCTTTAATGAAAGACCCATGTGAAAAACATATCATCCAAAAGTGACACCAACAGACATTTTGGTGCAGCCTGAACACTGGGATTTTACTATGCAAGGACACAGGTGGAATTCTTCATCACCACCAGGTTTACAGAAATCTACTAAGAAAACACTATAACTACATAGTAAACCTCAAAATCCAAACTCAGTATGCACACAATCAGCTGCAGCCAGAGGAAAGTTTTGTTAGAAGGTACAGCAGAAGAAGATAGATAGACAGAATATGAATGGGAAAAGCTGAATAACAAATAAAAAATGAAGCCCACTCACGTTATACAGTACTTTGTATTATGAGTTGAAATATGCTTTTGATAAAGTGAGCTCCTGGTGCACTTTATCTGTGAAGCCTAGAAAAAATGACAGAGTAGTTTGTTTGTATGAAAGCAGGGTTTGCTTGAGAGAATGTTTTTTGATACCATAACATAATATATGTAAGTGTCTCTGTGTTTATGTGTGTGTGTCTTTTTGAACACTAGTTTTCGGTCATTTTTCCACAAGCTTGTTTTGATAGATTTTATTCTTTGATGCTTGCTTTTCTCTGATTTTAGATATTTAAAATGAATAGCTTTTTCAGTTTGTTTTTTGCATGTAATAATCTCTGGTCATTGTTTTTTTTTTTGTTGACATTTTATGTACTGCAT